TATTTATTTATTCATTCATTCATTCATTCATTCATTCATTCATTCATTCATTCATTTATTTATTCATTCATTCATTCATTCATTCATTCATTCATTCATTTATTCATTTATTTATTTATTTATTTCCCGCCTATCTGGTCTTGCGACCACTCAAATAAAGTGAGATGAGGACCATTAATAAAGTGCTGAGTTAGAAAAGAAATCATTGACCTGATGTGGGAGTTTGCCATTGACTTTTTTCTTTTTCTTTTCTAGTTGGTGAGTTTGTTAGCGATGTTCTCTTGGTTCCAGAAAAGTGCAGGTTCTTCCACAGGGAACGTATGGATGTTTGTAAAAGTCACCAGTATTGGCACACTGTCGCAAAAGAGGTAAATGGCTGCGAGAGAATCCCTGCTTGAGTCCCTGAAGATATAATATAGCAGTTATGGGAGGCCTGAAAACAGAGGACCATAAATGCCTTTCTTATTCTAAGGGATTATAGAAAGGGTTCCAAGACCTCTATTCAGAGCACGTTACCATAGCCTCTCAAGACCGAAGGATGCCTACACATTATAGAAAGGGTTCAGATGTCCCATTCAGAAGAACCAGGCCTAAATCAATGTTCAGTCTGAAGTACAAAGTCAAACAATAGGCTATTTCCTGCAGCTCATAAAGAAAAGTTGCAGTTTTGCGAGGTTGGTGCCAATTCCGTGCAAGCATTCTCTAGATGTTAAAATGATGCAGTTCTGTCCATGCCAGGCTTCTTTGTTACCAAAACAAAGTAGTGTAATTGAAGCTCAGAGCTGCTGGGTTTGGAACACTTGAGATGGATGCAGGCTTTTGGAAACAGTGCTATAGAATTTGAGATTTTTATTCAGAATCTTCTCGCATGCTTTTGAAGATTGGCTCACAAACTGATAATAAGGAATCTAATATGCACTCTTATATCTGAACTCTGCATAGTGTTGGTTACAATCTGAAATATATATTTTAAAACTCTCCACTAGCTGTGCTGAAGTTAGACCAACCAATGCTCAGCTGCAACACAGTGAGCAGCTAGTAGATACACTACTGTTGGTTTTAATAACTTGGCCTGGATCTGTGTTAGTTGTGGGCATTAAATGTCCTTCTCTGAGCACCACTTAAAAACAATTAGCGGGGAGGGAGAGCTATTCTGTTAAAGGTTAATAGTGCACTACCATAAAGGTTAATAGTGCACCTTTTGGTTGTTTGAGTGATACAAGAAGCATACATCTTAAAGAGGAATTCTGGGAATATGGTCCTAACGTACAGTTTTAATTCTGCTTGCAGGCCTGTCTGACTGAGGGGACGATCCTGCATAGCTATGGCATGTTACTGCCTTGTGGAGTAGACCAGTTCCATGGTACAGAGTATGTATGCTGTCCTCAGATCAAAATAGTTGACGAAGCACTTTCCAAGGAAGAGGAGGAGGAGGAGGAAGACGAGGAGGAGGAAGAAGACGACTATGACAATTACAAAAGGTAGCTGCATTTGTATTTTATCAACAAGGCTTTTCCTATTGACTGGCAAAGGGAAGAGTATGAGCATTGGTGAAGAAGTTAGTTCCATATCAAGAACAGAAAAACGTTTGTCTGGTTTGTTCATAGCTTTCCAGCATTGCTTATGTGGTGTGTTAATGGATACAGTGTTCTCGGGTATTTTTGTGGTGTTTCTGTTCCTGTTTCCTCTTTCTCCTTTTGAATTTGATTAAGTCATTATGGACAAATTACAGCCCTCACCCATGTTGTAGAGCTGTAAGTCCTGTCATAGCCAGCATGCTTAATGGTGAGAAGTGCTGGGACTTACACTCCAGCAATATGTGGAGAATGTCATTTCCCCTCCTTAACCCTCATTTGAATGTCTATGAATACCCTGAAGATTTTTTGATCCATAGATTACTGCTATTGATGGCATTTTTGGGTGCCTTTTAATGAAAAAGATCCAAGCCTGTTTACAAGTAAAAGCTATACAAAGTTTTAAAAAGCAAAATCAGTATATATGATTCTGAATATATATGTTTGTATATGTGTATATTTTATGCTACAAAGAATTACAGATAGTGCATCTATATGATATGTTACTATACCTCATGACAACAAAATCATATGTGCTACAAAATAGTTAGCTGTTGTGAGTCCTTGAGATTCCGATGAAAACGATAAAAATTAGAAGTCCAGCAGTTTAAACAACACTGCCATTGTTTGCAGTAGTAGGCACACATGTACAGGGGATAGCTCCTGAAGGTGATTGGGAGATTTGCAGTTGCAATGCAGTTTTTGTCTCCCAGTGTTTTTTGAATTGCTTGAGATGGCTGGGTCAGTTTGTTGATGTTGCATGTCCAGCTCTGGGCTAAATCTTACGTTACATTGGCTGAGCTTTCCAAACTTTCTTCATCTCCCATTGGCAAGCCTTTGGGCCACCGCAGTGCCTGCTGAAGAGTTCTCAACATTCTAGAATCACTTAGGCGGTGCATGGGAGCTGTAGAGAGGCAGCTTGTCCCCCTCCTAATTTTGTCACTTCCCCATGGCAGGAGTTTATTGTTAGTCCTAGAGAGCAGTGCAAAGGACCTAGCTGTTTATCCTTCTAACAATATCCTTTGTAGTGAATTGCCTACAGAGACAGAGGCAGAAGATTTCACAACAGGCGCTGTGGAGGTGGAGGAGGAAGAGGAGGAGCAAGAGGAGAATGAGGAAGAAGTGGTGGTAGACGAGGGTTATTATTTTAATGACTATAAAGATTACAATGAAGAGCCTCCAACAGAGCCTGGCAATGAAAAATCCCTATCTGAGAAGGAAATAATGAGTGATGTGAAAGGTAAGCAGCCACATTTTAACTTTACGTAGCTTCTGTCTATTCCAGCAGTTGTGAATTGATCTTGGTAATCCATATGTTGAATGTTCCATTTCCAGTCCAGTAGTTTTTTCTCTTGGAGTTTTAATTGCCAAATAGGTCAGGAGAGAAAAGCTAGCATGTCATTCATTGGAGGTGATCTTCCCACTACAATCCTCAAAGGCTACAACATATGGTGTCTGCTGACCAGCACTCTCATCAGGATGGATGTTTCTGACACTCAAAATAAGCAGTTTTGCATGGAGCAATGTTGAATTATGTTTGAGCAGACCAGTTTGAGAAAAAAAAAAGTTTCAAATTGGACTGTAGTTTCTTTTGAGAAGATAGATTACAAGGGTGACGGGCTGATTAGCTTTTTACCTTAGCAGAAGAGCTAGGAAGCTGAAGTATAAAAAAATGATACCAGGGAAATGTGTATTGCCTTTTACTTCATATTTTGGTGTCTGCTGAGAGCTGAGTTCAGTTTCTTGGACAGCTGCTAGCAGCTGATTCAGCTAGCAGGTAATAAGATTTGCAAAGAAACAAGATTTACCTTGTGTATATTATAGGACAATTTCAGACCCATGTGTTTAAAATAAAGAGTAGGTGACTGTCAGGACAAAGAATAACTGTTTATCCTTTGTCTAGACAATAAGATACCATCCCAATTTCAGACTGCTTTTTTCTTTTTATTTCCAAAAGCCATCACTGACTAGCCTTCATGTAGTGAAAGCAAGGTACTATTCCTGACTTAAACAGCAGTATAGTAGAGCCTCTTAAAGCCACTTTGATGAATGGGAGTTGATGTGGTTAGGTCTTATCCATTTACCTGTCCATCTGGAAGGAGATATCCAACAGAGAAGGATTTAGGTCCTCATGGTTTGGTAAGTCAGAAATCGTATGGTTTAATTTGGAGAGGGAGTCCAGCACCCATGCCTGCTGGCTCCTCCTCCAGTTTTATTTATGTTCAAGCGAATGACAGATAACTTGTGGAGCTCCTGCAAAAACAGAAGTGATGCTTCATGGTAGATGGAGAAAAGGAGGAGGGAAGTCCCTGAAATTTGCCTCCTGCCAGAGGAGTGGGGAGGGGTCTCTGTGCCATAGCCTTTTTGTCCAAAGTTCGGATGCTTCAATTTACAGGAATTCAGGACAGTTTTTTTGTGTTGAGGCTAACTTTGTGCCATTCTGAACCTTTGACTTGGCAACAGAGCAGCTGAATAGTTTAGAAGGAGCCCTGTAGTAGAAAATTCTCAACATCTGCAGCCTTCAAGGTTATAGTAATATCTTCAGAAGCTTCCCCAAAGAATGTGAGGGTTTTGAACATGTTTGGGTATTCCCCTGGGCAGCTACAGCACCCTTCCTGGATGATTCTTCCATTCAGAAGCCCCATTGGATTGCTTCCAATGCCCACAAAGAATTTGTTCTCCAGTTCTCCTTAACTTGCCTGCCACACAGAAATAGGCACCTTGTCTGGCTTCTCATGCAGCCTTGTTTCACCTCACTGGTTTGTCTGCACCACAGTTGGGGCTTGCAAATTCATTTTTCAGTGATTCCAGTGGGATTGTGGCCAACATTTTGCAAAACCTAAAAGCTTCATGCTCACTAAGGTGGGAAAGTTCCATTTGGGCTTTATCTCATGAGGCTGCTTGCCAGAGATGTCAGAGCTGAGTGTTCCTCCAAAACCTACCTACCTTTCTTTCTGCATGGAAGACTGGAATATCAGAGAGGGCTCGTCTTCGAAGCCTTCTCTCTGATACATCACGCTGGGGAGAAGGGAGTTTCCTCAGTGTTTTTTAAAAAATGAATGGTGAAGGAACATTTAGTCTTGTGAGACCCTTTCTGCCAACCCATGCTTGCCGCTAGTTAGAATTAGGCCAAAAATCTCCACTCTTAGAAGCTTGCAACCCGATCTAAAATATCACCAGATACTGCTATCTAAAACCGTTTCATTCTACTACCTCCCCATGGCCCTTGACGTGGTGGAGCGCACACATATCAGCTTGTGGCTGTCACATCTGGTGCAAAATCTTCCTGTTATGGTTCTTTCAAGTTGTAAAGCTTGCTCACTCAAGCATCTCAAAACCCTTTTGTCTGTCACATGTTCCTATTTTATATGGTCCAAATGGCATTTGTGACTTTTGTGTGACAGATTCTGATGTTACCTGGTTTCGGTACACCTGCAGTTTTCAAAATGAAAGTTTATTTTGCAGAAACTGAGCCAACTAAGGGGATTTCCCCTCCCTCCCTTTTTCCAATGCTGTTTCACTTGATTAATGACAAGAGTCATACAGGTTCCAAAGCAGCGGTGCACATTAAGTGAATGGAAATTCTGACAGCTGCTTGTACAGGATATGGCACAGCCTGGATGCTGCTATACTGTAAAATCTGAACTTACCCTTTGTGGGAGTAGAACGGTGAAGTTGGGGCTGCTTTTGGCTTGGGCAGGTAGATTCCCCTTGGCCGCCCCAGGCATGGGCAATGTGGAAGCATGTGGGTAACAGATCGGCAATGCCCTAGGCAAATGTCAGTTTGTTAGCTAAGACTGTCCTAGAGCCGTCATTGCTGTTGAAATAGCTTAGCAAAGCTGTGCTTGTCACCAGCTGATGCTTTAACCATCTCCCACACAGCTGTCTGCTCCCAGGAGGCGATGACAGGTCCCTGCCGGGCTGTGATGCCTCGTTGGTACTTCGACATGTACAAGAAAAAGTGCATTCGCTTTATATATGGAGGCTGCGGAGGCAACAGGAACAATTTTGAGTCAGAGGAATATTGTATGGCTGTTTGTAAAAAGATGAGTAAGTCCTGCCTCCCACTGGCCCTCTTGCAGCAAGCTGTTGTCCTGTCTGTCTTCTCCTCCTTGATCAGCTCAAGGAAAAAAGCTGTGTGTATCCTTGTCCTCTGGATCCTGCTGTCTGCTGAAATGGTGTTTGTCCTGCAGTAGTCTCCTCCTGTCTCTGTACTGCGTTAGGTTTTAGACCCAGTCTGTGTTTCTGCAGCCAAGGAAAGCTGGCTTTCCTGGATGCATCCTGCCCTTGCAAGGTTCTGAGGCTCTGTAAATCCTGTCCTTGACTTTGTAGTAGGGATTGGGCTTCTCTTTGTTCTTCTACTTGTCCTGTTCACCTCATTTGGCCCCCTTTTCCCGCTGCCTTCCTGTGGAATCATGCATGACTTCAACCACTCTCTTCACATTGTAGCCGCTGGTAGATTCCCGAGAGTACTGGTTTTTTTTAAATGCAAGACTGTTTCATTTTCTGCATCATTAGAAATATGGGCCACAGCCTGATGACTCTATTTGATAGCTAGAGGCTTTTGTCACTTTTTTTTTCAAAAAAACTAGCTCTTTCAATAAACCCTCCCACAAAAATTAACTTATTGTTGAATTCCGGCACTTCCATTTTGGCTGCTGCGGAGGGCTTTTGAAAAGCTTTTTGGGCTTTCTAGGGCTTGGCAGTCTGTCTATGTAGCATTAATCCTGTTTACAAAATGGGTTTCCATGCAAATGCTTTTGATTGGGTTGATCCGATTGAAGTGGTAGAATAAAAGATGCAGATGTCAGGAGCTTTTTGGACAAAAGTTCATCCCATCACACAAGGATCCAGAGATGGAAATTGGGGGCTTTATATCAACCCCTGATACTGAATCACTAAATAGTGCATCTAGTTTTAGCTCCCATTTAACAGACGGAGAATATCTTGACAATTATGCTGTCTTGCTTCTGTTTCTTTTAATAATCCCCTCTACGTTGAAATAAAAGGGTTGTGGATTTATCTCCGGGAGCAAAATTCCCATTCAGGACTTTGTACAAAGTGTTGTACAAACAGGTTCTGCGCTGTCATAATTCATGCCATTCTAAATTTCTCACTTGCGGCAGATCTGTTTGATATGAAAATAACTGATTTGAGAAAGGATTGGTTCAAGTGATTTGGGTTTATGATGAACCTATTCTTAATTCGTATTCCGCTTGCATAACTACTTAGCAAAGCTTTCATTTCCTTATGAATAGTCCATTTTTTACCATGAAGAGTAGCTAATCAAACAAAGTAGCAATGAAAATACCAAAAATAACATTTCAGAAGGTTTTTTTATATATAGAGGGAGGAGGATAAAAAGCTCAAGCAGGTTTAATAGTTTTTGTCTCCCATGGAAAAGAGACAAGCGATCCAAACTCTGGAATCCAAGAGTGTGGGGACCAGTACAGAAAAATGTGTTGCTGGTTACTGTTGTTAGTTTTCAGAGGCTGGTACTTGGAGCAGGATCATTGATCTCTGCAGAATCAGATGTGTAGAGGAGACGCAGGGATCCTTGCCTCAGTCTCTGTAGTGGTTATTGAGCCAAATTGCTGTGTGCTACAGAGTGGTTCAGAATGCATGACTTCATACCAGGCACAGCCCTAAGCTAGCAAGCGCAGAAGCAATCTGTGCTGACCTTGCACTGAAAAATGATAACACAGACTTGACCAGCTGTCACGAAAGTCACAATGGTGCAAATATGCTGCAGCCTCTTCTTTCTTTCTGTTTGAAAGCTGTGAGGCCTGTCCGCTAGCTGTCCAGTTGTGACTGTGTAAGTGGACCGTCTTGCTGTGCCTCTCTGTTGTGTTGCTTACCTGTGTTTTTGTTAGATTATCTCTTGGTAAGGCTGAAGAGGGCAAATGAAGCTTGAAGGGTCTGATCTCTCCATGGGAATTGAACGGTCAAACATATCTGGCATTAATTTTATTAACTATGGTGTTTTTTTCTGGTACCTTTCAAACTTTAAAATATTAGACTGCATAAAGCCGATGATGTCATAAACCATGGGGGGTTTTTGAAATTAACCACTGTCACCCCCCGGGGGGGGGGTCCCAAGACTCTCATGGGATCTCTTTTATCATGCAAAAGCAGTTGGGGGGTTGCAGGATTTGGGGAGGCGCATCTTAATTTTCAAAATTGCTGCCAACCATAAAATCATTCTTCTGGGGATGATTTTTGGTAATTAAAAATTTCCCCTCCTGTCCTGGTGGTGAAAGAGATTCCTTGGGAGCCCTCAGGTGACAGGGAAGAGATTTGAAATGTTTCATTCTTGAAAAATTGCAGTGGCTGTTAATTGTCCTGCTAGCTATGTGAACAGGATTCTAACCATAATATAAAAGAAAATAATCAAACTTCATAATCTTACAAAATGACAAACTTAAAACATTTTTTTTAAAAAAATGGAAAACAGAAAGTTTTTTATTATGTAGGTGTAGTTCTGCTGAGCATCACATGCATGCAGCTGCGCATCTCAATAGGACTCTTGGAAAAGGGGAAAATAAAGTTCTTAGCAGTGGCTTCTTTTGATTCTACAGAATACTTTAAGGGGCTGCTGAAACTTAGCAGCTAATAGCCAAAATATATTCCAGCAGGAAGTGATGTTCAGACTTGCTTTTGAGAGCAAAATCTTGGCAGCAAAGTCTTCCTGCCTGGGAACTCTTACTGATAGAAACAGTTGCCTAATCTGTGGCGATTAACATAGAGAGTCCCTTGGTTTCTCCCCCCGCCCCCCAGTTCCTCCTACTCCTGTGCCTACTGATGATGTAGATGTCTACTTTGAAACACCAGCTGATGACAACGAACATGCTCGTTTCCAGAAAGCAAAAGAACAGCTAGAGGTTCGGCATCACAACCGCATGGACCGGGTGAGCCTTCTTTCAGCTGGAGTTGCAGCTATTTTCATTCTGCTTATTCAGATTGGCAGCCTTGTTGTGATGTTCTCTTTGCCACCGAACTTATTTTTTCCATTTTTATATGGACAAAACTTGCTTTTCTTCTGGATGGTGAAAGGTTTTAAAAAGCTGCCCCAAACTGAACTGAAAGTCTAAATTGGAAACATGACAGAGTTTATCTCTAAGCCTTTCACTTTAATCTTTAGCCAGATGAATGTTTTGTAACTTATGTACTGAAAACTATTCAGAAGTTTTGGGGAAGAACGGGTTATTAAGCTGTTAGAAATAAAATTCCTGCCGTGCACTGGAATCATCCAAACATGCCGACAACAAACCAGTTCTCTGATTCTTCTTGAACTGTTTAGGTGAAGAAGGAATGGGAAGAAGCAGAGCGCCAAGCCAAGAATCTCCCAAAGGCAGAGAGGCAAACTCTGGCACAGGTAAGCCAGCGTTTAAGGAGAGTGGAAGGTTGCTCATTTTCGAATTTTGAGCAGATGCCTCACAATAATCTGACTGGAGTTAGAGCCAAACAAGACAACTATTTTCATTGATAAGCTGCTGGCCCGGCAATATCTTTTTGCCATGGCATTGTTCTTCCATCTTTAGAATTAGCACCTCCAAGTATGTGCCTTTTCTCTGGTTGTTAAGAGAAGATGAAACCAATGCATAATAATGTCCATAGCCTTGGCAAAGCAGAAAGGAGACTGGCTGCTCAGATGCATCGTGTTTGAAGATGCAAGTTCCTGTTTATACAAAGCTAGTGAAAAACTGTCAGGGTGAAATACCAGCCACCTTGTAAAGCAGTACCTTTTATTTTATTAGTAAAATAGTAATGTTCTTCAGTAGGATTTGTACCACTCTGGAACTTGTGAGCAACAGAATAGGTTGCAGATGGAGCATCACGAAGGGTTACTGTAGATCGGAAGAGAGAGATCTGTTATTGTCTTTCACTTCAGTTTGCTCTACCATAAGTACATATGGCAGACAATTTCACAATGTCCTTTAAAATTTAACCAGCCCTCTATCCCTATATAAAACGCAAATACATAGTAACTTAAATTTAATCAGCCCTTCATCCCTGTATAAAACACAAATACGTAGTAACTTAAAATTCATTTCCAAAATCCAACAGTTTGAATAGAATGCTAAGCCTAGGACTTGGCATTCTGGATTCACACACCAGCTTTATCATAGACACATCAGCTGGTTTTGGGCAAACTGCTCATTCTGTTTATATCAGAACTAGTTCACAATATTTAAAAAAATAGACCATGTTATCTCTGTATGCAGGAAATAATAAGTTGCAGTGTGATCTTTAAGTAATAATCTTCACTGAAGTGAAATGTCCATTTCGTCCTTCATTGCCACATGTTTTTGAACAGAGGATAGGAAAATCAAAGGTTATCTTGCAACTTTCCCCAGGTACTATCTTCTTAGCATATCTGAAAGTCAGTAATCAGGATAGGATGAATTAATCTGTTTACCACCAGTCTGTAAATGTTATTGTAGCATCTTCTTTTAACAGCGATTCCAGGCAATGGTTAAATCACTAGAGAAAGAAGCAGCCAGTGAGAAGCAACAGCTTGTAGAGACGCACCTCGCTCGCGTAGAAGCCATGCTGGATGATCGTCGTCGAATTGCTCTTGAAAACTACCTAGTTGCTCTGCAGACTGACCCTCCAAGGGTATGTTTCCTGTGGGATGTTTCAAATCCATGAAGAAAGGAAGGGAAGCCCCAAGTGTCTGGAAGAAGAACAAGCGTTAACAATTTATAGCAAAAAGGCTCATGTTTTTCATGCTCACTGCAAAACTGTATGATCTATGGGGTTAAAATAAAGAGTATTTTGACTTGCTCTCTGTCTAGAACAGACTGTAAACTGGATCATGAACAATGTACCTGACTGAAGTAATTGAAATCCTTTTACTTTTTATCTATCTCACCAGCTTGATTTTCTTTTTTGCAGCCTCACCGTATTCTCCAGGCTTTGAAACGTTATGTCCGTGCTGAGAACAAAGACCGCCTGCACACGATTCGCCATTACCAGCATGTTTTGGCCGTGGACCCAGAAAAGGCTGCCCAGATGAAATCACAGGTAGAAGAAAAATCCTAGATAGCATTTTATTGAACATTTGTGGCCCCTTTCCTAGCTTCAAATCCAAATCTCAGTGGAATATAAATTGAAGAGAGTATGTGAAGTCCTTAACAGCTCTGAAGTGTTTTTGCATTAAAAGTGGGGAGGGGGATAAAGTTCTCTCCTAGCTCTGTATTTGGTCATGTGCAAAGTACTTTAGGTTGCAGTTTCTACCTTCTGTTCTCTTCTAACATAGATGTTGGGCTGATTCCAGCCTGTGCCTATTTGTTGTTGTCTTCGCATGATGTAGACATAGGTACGTTAGCAGCTCTCATAATAGCATGAATGGGTTGTGTGACAGGTAAGATGGTTACAGCAATTGAATGGGTGGAAGAACTTGCCTCCTAGAATGGGAATCATTTTGCTGTAATTAGCTATGGTTTACTGTAATGTAAACCAAGAACAATGTCTGTTTAGACTAACCAGAGCTAGTTGTGTGGTGTGGATTGGATTTGGACTCCTCCTGGAATTTACTATTAATTCACCTCTCTTTTTCATTCTCCTATTTTGACTGTATTCTTGACTTGATGATTGTATTCTGTATTCACAAAGGGTGTTGATCTGAATGTTTTGCTAATTACCCACATGCCTCATTCTTTTTAAGAGATACCAGCACTACACAATTCTGACAGTCGAGCACCACTTCAGCTTCGGTTGTTTTATCTTACAGAGTTGCAGGAATTGTAGTTAGAGTGGCTTAGAATTCTCTACCAGAGAGGTCTAGCATTTCTCTGAACTAGGGGGTCTCTAGCAGAGGATTGTAAGTATTGCACCAGATTACAATTCCTATCATTCTGTAGGATGGAGTCATGGTAGTTAAAGTGCTACAATTAAGCATTGTAGCTACATTGTTAGTGTCAGCACACTGCTATTTTCACCACCCTGAAGGTTCATGGTTAAGGTGCATTTATTCTCTGCTTTTTGTAAGGTGGGAGATGCTAACAATTCACTGAACACATTTTCTGCTACGTTACCTTTCTCTGGCATCTCTGCCTTCCTCCTTTGAGATTTGTTTAGCAGTCAAGATTCTCTTCTACATATATAAGAGGGAAGAAAGAGCAAACTGGGATAACTGGGAAGGCATTTTAATGTTCACTCTGTGACTAGCAGAGCTGTAATCAGAAGGTAATTTTCTGTAAGTTTGGTGTCTTGTTTCCAGAGATGTTGCTTCTCTATTTCCTAGCACTTATAAAGGAAAAAAAAACTGCCAAAGAGATATGTAGTTATCCTGTGTGGGATCAGGTAAGTTAATGGTGTCTGCTTTAGAAGCAGGAATGGAGCATGAACCCAGTTTCACCCTGCAACTGCTGTTGCTTACCTTTGCTCTGTAGACTGAGGATGGCACTTTACTGTAGAGATAGTATATTACTGTTTGTATAGTTGAGTACTAGAAAGTGTTCTCAATGTTGTTTTTCTTTTCATGTTCCAGTCTTTTGACCTGTAAATGTTTTGTTATTTTTTTAGCTTTCATGATGCAGAAAGTATTTGTGTAAGGCAGGTCAGATTGAATCTTCTAAAAGGGTGTAGTAACCCATGACTCTCTTCATGCTGCCAGCCCAGTTGATCAAGCACTCTTATTTTGATCCTGGAGAGGCTGTGTGCACAGAATGTTTATGCCATGAAATCTTAAAAGATTTCTGGATTCTTTGTGCGGGTTGGCCAGTTGACATTCAAGGAATGTTGCTAACACTGTTCAGTTCTGTTCCTTTTATATTTTGGTTGTACAGTGGTGCCTCGCTTAACGAGCACACCGTTTAACGACGAATCCGCATAGCGACACGTTTTTTGCGATCGCATTGCGATGTTTTAATAGGCAAAACATTGCATTGCGATGATCGGTAAGCGTTTCACTTACTGATCTTCGCATTGCAATGTTTTGGGAACAGCTGATTGGCGGTTCCAAAACGGCCGCCGGGTCAACAAAATGGCTGCCCCGCAGCGTTTTCATGCCCTGCCCTCGCTTACCGGGCAGCGAAAATGGCGGCCAGATGGAGGCTTCCCCCCATAGCGGTGAGTTTTTCCCCAATAGGAACGCATTAAACGGAGTTTAATGCATTCCTATGGGGTCCCCCCCCCGCATAGCGACGAATCCGGATAGCGACGTTAATCCTGGAACGGATTAACGTCACTATGCGGGGCACCACTGTACTTTAAACTCCTTATTCAGTCCACTAAACTGACAGGTGGGCTACCCAGAAAATTAAATAGCTTTCATACTTTCCTTTTAAAAGTGAGATATACTTCAGACAATTAAGCAGGTCTGTTCAGTTCACCTCTGTTCTTCCAATATGGTCTTTCTTTGCTTGTGTCATAAACACCACATATAACAGATAATTTTCACCCAGTAATTCGAATGTAGTCATCCATATTAACAAATTATGTCTTACATCAAGTTGTAGTTCCTAGGAGCACAGCTCCCTCTGGAGGTCTGATACCTAATGGCTGTAAAAGTAAGAAGAAAGATGGCTGTGTACAAACACAGGAAGCTGGTAGGACACGACACCTGAGCATTATGCTGAGATAGAAATTTTTTTTTTTTTTGCATAAAAAGGCCAGTTTTGTTTTCTACATAATGAGATATTACTGCCACTGCTTTAAAACATGTCTTGTTAATTTTTATATTTTCTCTTGGAAAATATGTTGCTGAGGATAATGAGTTAGCTAGCAAATTTACATTATTATTGCTAGTTTCAGAGAAAAAAATTGCTTAATCTGGAGGAAATTTTCCATAGTGAATAAGCAATGCCCATTTGGGCAAACTCTGTGTTGTATCGTAAACTGGTGGGAAATCTTGACTCAAGTATGATTTGGTGCTTGAAACTTAAAAACAAGACAGTTAACTTGTTTTACTGTATCATTGTGGATATCGGCTATGTTGGCTGAATGGAATCTCTCTGCATGGAAGACTGATACTGCTAAACATCTCTTTAAAAAAAGTTCTTTGCACGATTGTGTTGTAAACACCCCAGAGTGTGCTCTTGCACTATAGGGTGGTATATAAGTCAAAAAACAAAAGCTAAATACCAGACGTTGCAGGGAAAAACAGAGACTGGCCTACTTCCATCTTTCTTTTTATTTACATCCTTTCCTTTTCCCAGTAAAGGGACTCAAGCTAGCCTAAAAAATTTTCAAAGATAAATGTAACTTACATAGAATAAATTAAAAATTTATTTGCAAAACAGAAACAGTGTGCTAGAAAAACAACAGGTCACTTTAAAACAATTCAAAATATAAGCACATCAGAAAAGTAAACAAAAATCCCCTTCTTTGGCAGCTCAATGCATTGGTTAACAAGAGGATCTTCCTGGAAGCATTTTCTGGCATATTTGGGTCTCCAATGTTGGAAATAGAACGCTGGACTTAAACAAACTTTGTTGTGGACTTCATGTTGCTTTTAAAGCTGACTGTTGAATATTGTGACTTTTATGTCAAGCAAATACAGTGCAGGTTCTAAAACACCTGGGCTCCAAAGCAGATGTATGTTTTTCATTAAAAACAGTACCAATAAAATTGATGACATGAACTCTGCCTTCTCTTTTGATAGGTGATGACTCATCTCCATGTGATTGAAGAGAGGATGAATCAAAGTCTCTCCCTGCTGTACAAGGTACCTTATGTGGCTGAAGAAATCCAGAATGAGATTGGTTAGTACCTTTAACCTGTTTGTACAATTGCTACAGTGGTTTGTCAAAAGCTCCAAATCATTTAGGACATCTGAGCCCAGTGCGGTTAATGGAAATAACTATGAGCCTAGGATGTGGTTGTCAGAGTTCTCTTTTGAAAATATCCCTCTAAATAAAATAGAAAGTTTTCCTAATAAAGAAAGAAACCAAGGCTGAATGTAGCAAGTGAAGGTGAATTTCTTGGGAATGGAGTCCTATTGCTGCATATAAATGAGAAGTATATATAATAACTCCAGTTCAGTGTGGTAGTCTGGCACAACCAAGATTTCCCTCTTCAGTCTAACCTCTCTTCTTTTATATAGATGAGCTCCTTCAAGAGCAGCGGGCTGACATGGACCAGTTTACTTCCTCCATTTCCGAGTCCCAGGTGGATGTCCACGTCAGCTCTGAAGAAAGTGAAGAGTCTCCCCTCTTTGATGGTAAACCTTTCCGTCCATTCCAGGTGAAGACTTTCCCAGCCTCGTCTGAAAATGAAGGTATGTAGGACGAGGAGTGGGTTGTTTACTGCATCTCTAGCATCCTAAACTGTCTGGCCTGAATGGACATCTGAGATCACCTCGGACAACTTGCTTGTTCACATTTTCTGCTCTTGTTAGAGCTGTTTTATAAGTAACTTGTGATATAAGAGGAAATAGGGCACTAGGTTCTAGTTAATTGTTATTTTGTGTTCAGCATTCTGATTTAATTTGTGTGCGTGGCCAATCAGGAGTTTTCCAGTCTTGCTCTCCTTCACAGGTGCTTTCGTTCTAGCTTGGCTATGAATCCTTTCCATCTGTAGGGCCCTTAGCCCAAAACCTCAGTCACACTATGCCAAAGTGCCTCGACATTATCAAAAATCCATTCTCTCTTGCTTCCTATATATGTTGGGATTAGAGGAAAGAAGTCTCAATTTGATTTTAATCTCTAACCTAAATATTGTCTGGATCCTAGTCAGAAATTGCACACTATCCTTTTTTTCTTTTCTCTTCCCCCCTTAATCTCCTTTTTTCTGCTATTTCTGTTTTTTCTTATTTTTTTTCCTTTTGCTATAGATTCTCAGCCGGATTTATACCATCCAGTGAAAAAAGGTTGGTTCTAAGCTAATCCTCTAAATGCTTCCTTCATGCCTTCACCTTTGCAGTATGTCTTGCTAGCTTTTGCTTTTTAGTTCCATAACATCCGCTTGACCTCCCATCCTTTCTGCTTCTAAAAAGCTTTAGGTGTGAATCACTGAGTTGGATTTTAGACATGCATTGGTTTTACTACATAAATTAAGGCTTATTATGTTTTCAAGTACTGCAACAGCAGAGTTTGGGGGTTGTGGTATAAATGCTGATCAGGTAGATATTTAAATGGAAATAAAAGTTTTTATTGCTATAATTTTTTCCTCCATCTGTTCTACATCACAACCTTGATTAGAATGAGGCACTTCCATGTTGAAAGACAGAAGCTAACTGCAGTGCTGTCCTATATTTGATGCTGCTCTGTGCAGAATTGTATAAACCTATTCTATATGAAGTATCTCAGAATGATCACTAGAATGATCACAGGAAAATGGTGGTGGAGGAGGTAGGAAAAGATGATGACGAGTGGAGCCTGTCAGGTCAAAATGTTTAATATTCTGTAATTTACTGGAAAGATTTTCCAAAAGCTCTGTCCAAATATCTACAGTTGCAAAATCCAGAATACCCTGTTTATGGATTAGAGAATATCCCCATCCTTCCATTTTTCTGCAGTTTCTTTTTGCAGTGTGTGCATGCTTGATTTTGTGGCCTTCTGTTGAGACTGTGTCAGGCAAATGGTAGAGAACAAAAGCTATATAAAGGTGTGTGTCCCCTTTGTGACCTATTTTATCGTGTTTCATGGTTACACTTCCGATTGACACTCTTTTGACTGTTAGTGGAGTGTATCAAGCTTTGCTCTAAATGTTTATTATCAGCTTTCAAAGATGGGTTCCCAGCAACTGCAGTTTGTTGAAATTCAAAGTCAGTAGCAGTAAATGAGAACTGAGGTTGAGGAGGAAAATTAAGATTATAGGTCAGTCTTTCTTAGCCCAGATGTTTTGCATTGTCAGTCCCATCTCTCCTGCCAACTTAACCTCCTAGCTGTGGCTCATGAACATTGTACAGTAGTTCCAACTGTCCATGTGGCTCATGAATGTTGTAGTTTCAACCATGGCTGAGAGATAATTTTTACTGGTCCACTTATTCCTTTGATGTTGTTTTTGATGCCTCCAGAATATCTATTTTAACCCCCCCCCCCCGTAATACTCATTCCTTGTTTTGTGACTTCAAAGCCCTAGAATTAATGCAGCAATCTTCCTGAAGTTTCTCTCTGTCTTTTTAGACACATGTACACTGCAGTGAGCTTTTTGGGAGGAAAAAAAACCCCACAAAACTTTTTCTAGTCTAGTCCTAGCTAAGTTTTCATAGATGTGCAGGCATATTTGTTTCTGTCTTCCTCTCCTTTCCTGTTGTTCTTTTTTTCCAAAAGAGTGGTGAACAAAAGGAACTGCTGTTCTTTTTGAGAGATATGCAGGATCTAAACTGCTTTGTCTCTGAGTAGCAATCCACTTAGGGCTGTTAAACAATGTGGAACTATATAATGGTACCTGTCACAGCATCCAAATTGATAGCTTAGAGCTTTTTTTATGCTAGTTCCTGAGAATAGGAAGAGTCAGATAAAGGCCAGAAGCTGACCGATTAGGAATGGCATCTAGAAGATGGCCCAAGCTCTTCAGAAACCATAAATCACCCAGTTTCACAAAGTAAGCCACTCTGGCAGGCTTGGGGAGCAGGATGGACAGTCTGGAACATGCTTGGAATGTAAACTAGCATTTTCTGAGTAACATAGGAAGAATTGCTTTCTTAGCTTGTGGTGGCATTTTTCAGGCAGAAAGAGACAAAAGGAAACGGTTACTGTGACAACTACCCTCAAAGCACTATATCAACCTCTTTCCGTCAAAAAGATCAGCAGTAGCAGAATACACTAAATAGCCTCCGAGCATCTCAGGTGTGAGACAAGGTGTGTTAAGAACTGGTTTTATTTGCCCCGTATGCAGAATGTCACAGAAGATGCCAGTGGGTACCTTGGTTCTTTGTGCAAAACTATAACCCAGGTTGGCATTCTGTAGGGTTCCATTATTGGGCGCTTGCATATCTGGAGTCGTTTGAATCTTCCGTCAGCTCCTTTGGCTGTTCATCCACAGCAACATCAGACAGTTCATGTCTCAGCTAATATTTGCACCATTGTATTGATGTCCTTTCCCTTCCCCAAGATGCTCCTGGGACTGGCTGAGGGATATTTGGAACATCATCATTAGCACCTCCCTTGAAACTGATTGATTAAGCCAGGCACAGGAAGAGGAACTCATTTACCTTGTTCAGTGGGTGATCCTATTTTGGAAGAACCCTTGAGACTTTTTTCTGCTAGCACTTGCTGATATGCAGGCATTTTAACAGGGTGGTGCTGCATCTGTGGTGGCAAGAATGTTAGGAGTTCTCTGCTTTTGGGGCACTTGTGTTGCAGTCGAAGGCATGTCCTCTTGTGATGGGATTTCTGCACTTTCATTGCTTTGTGCCATGAGATAGTAATCAGAAATAAAGTAGTTGTGTGCTTAAACCTATAGGAAAAAAATCACCTTCCATTCTTAACCTTTCTCCAATTCCCATTGTTTGTCTCACTAGCATCATATTTATGGTATCCTTCCAATACATGCATAAAGAAGAGGTGTAAATCACTGTGTGGGGGGGTTATCAGAAATACCTGGATACAACGTTCCCTTTAAGGTGCATGTGTGCAGGGCTCCATTGGGGCTGCACACAGGCAGCCGGTTTGTTTACTTCCTGCTTTGAACGAAGCCCCACCCCATGTGTGTGCACAGGGCAAGGCTCCCATGCAGCATGAACGAAGATTAGAGGGAACGGTCCCTGGGCGCCACTGGGGTCTGCCAAATGGCCTTCTCCTTTGTCTGATGTCATACTCAATTTCTTCTGTGCAGGGTCTGGTATAGCTGAGCTTGATGGACTGATAGGTGCTGAAGAGAAAGTCATTAACAGCAAGAGCAAGCTTGATGAGAATGTGGTAAGTGCTTTGCCTTCCTTTTGCCCAGAGGAGCCCCATCCTGACTATGTCCAGCAGGTTTGTGACTTGCTTCCATGCCGTTTGCCACATGCTTGATAGTCACTATATTCATTGTTACATACACTGCAGGAGAGTAGCTGTTTTTTTTTTTTTTAAATTGAGTTACAGCACTGTAGATCTGCAGTACATGTCAAGGACAGAAGGGCAGGAGTGGGAAGGATCTAAAGTCAGCACCCAAGCAGGAGAAGCCCTGTGATTCTGGTTGGCAGTATGCACTCCCCTTTGATTCTCTGACACAGGCTTAACCAATAGCTTTGTCAGCTCCTCCGAGTGACTGCAGCTTTTGTCAAGTGCAGGAAGTAAAATGGACATTCCATAGCTTTTTAAAGCTAATGTAAAGATACAGTTGAAAATATGGTGTGTTTTCACCTGCTCTACTTTGTTTCTTGAGTCAAATAGCTTTAATGAGATGATGGAATCCAAGGCAGGTTTATTGTGTTTAATAGCGTGACCTCCATGACAGCATTTTAAAATTACATGGGTGTTACCTTATGGCATGTACATCATATCGTAAGCATTCTTCGCTGCACTAAATCATTCTAAAGTATAGATAGTATGCCATGCCAGGCTCAGTGTGTGAGAGAGATGTTTTTAACCCGAAACCCTTCCATTTATTACAGTATGAAAGGGCTGTGAAATTGCACTTCCTGGCACTAGCTCAACACGTGCCATGTTAAACCCCACCTTTCTCACCAGTGCACATAGTGCAGCTCCCAGAGGCATCTTGCTCAGTGCCAGTGTGAATGGATGCCATGTACATGCAGGTGCACACATGTAGGTCCTCCTTAGTGTTAGCAGAGAGGCTCCTGAGCCTGAATTCTTGCTTATGTGGAGAGATCTTGTGTGTGCTTAAGAGTGTAGTAAGTGAGTCTTGTCGTGCAGTGGTTAAACTGTAGTACAGCAGCCCAAACTCTGCCTACAACCCAGGTTCAATTCCAGGTACTGTAGCTGGCTCTAGGTTCACTCAGCTTTCCATTCTTACAAGGTTGATAAATTGAGTTCTCAGCTTGCTGGAGGTGGGGGCAATGTGTAGCCTGGATGAGATTAAATTGTAAAGTGCCTAGAGAGTGCTTTGAGTGCTATATAAACAACACAATTTACTGCTTCTTTTTTTCCTCCCATTTTTCCGGAGGGTAGCTATGTTAGCTTGCTGAAGTAAGAGCCAAAAATTTTCTTATACACTGACAACTTGTACTTGGTATAAGTTATTGTGAACTATAACCCACTGTAGCATCTGAAGAAGTGGCCACAGTCCATGAAAAGTATTCCAAATAAAAATTACTGGCCTATAAGGTATGCCAGATTTTTTGATCCTCATTCTGCACTTTTTAGTGGTCAGGATTGTGCTGTATCTCAAGCATTTCTCATGTGAATTTCGTTGTATGTGTATATACTTACAATGACAATAAAATAAATTATTAAAAAAAATAAGTGTATAAATATTGGCCAGAAAAGATAGCGAGGGTAGGAATAGTCACTTTCAGCTTGTCATATTATTATTTAGCAAATGTGTGTGGAGCTGTGTGAACAGCTCAATGCCATTCTTTATTAGTTGTTCTTGTGCAAAGGGTCTTGCATCTTTTAGCCCTAGGGAGATGTGCTGGATTTTGCTAATTGCACATGATCTCCTTTCATGAGCATGGGAGAAATGTGTGATATCCTTGTAGAGTTAACTATGGATTTTCTCTGCAACTGTTGCTCCTCTTTGCAAATCAAAAGTGACTTGTTGTGCAAATCCATGCCCACTTTTCTTACATCTGTCACTGGCACCTTCTGTAAAATTCCCTCATGACTGTTTTCAGGTTATTGATGAAACCCTTGATGTGAAAGAAGTGGTTTTCAATCCTGAGCGAGTTGGTGGACTGGTGGAAGAACGGGTATGTATATGGCCATCAACGTGGACTGGCAGTTAGGGGAGTTCAAGCCCCATCTTGGTACAGAGATAGAGCTTTCAGTTCTGAAGGTGCTGTAAATGTTGTAAAGAGCAGTAGACTCTTGAGATCCGTGGGCTGCAGAGGGCACATGTAGGCAACCTGGGTTGTGTGCAAAAGGCCTATGTCCAAGGAAACGTTTTAGGCCTCTGCGAGCCAGACCATAATGACAAGAGACTGGGGCAAATCATAATCAGGCACATCTCATGCTTGTTACGGCAGCTGACCAAAGGAAGAGGTTAGTACTTCTGACTGAGCCCCTCCCCATGTTTTCTTGCCCCTTGCAGGAAAGTGACAGTCCCCTGCGTGATGACTTCAGCTTTAGCAGCAGCGCTCTCATTGGTCTCCTGGTGATAGCAGTTGCCATAGCTACCGTCATCGTCATCAGCTTGGTGATGCTGAGGAAGAGGCAGTATGGAACCATCAGCCATGGAATTGTAGAGGTGAGAAGGGGCCTTGATGTGCATAATTGGAACAGAAGGAGTAGAAGGAAGCAGCCAATCCTTTTTGCAAGGCAACCTTGTTGCTTGTAATTGGCAACCTAAGGTCCTGGCCTCTTGACAGTGGAAGCCTTGCTTCCTTCGGTTGCAGCTGTGTAGCAGTATATCTTCCAGAGTAATTCACTACCAACACAGGAAGTGAGAACACAATCTATATAATGTATTGGATCACAGGTTAGTTAAATAATTTGGTAGCAGGCTTTGGTGTTGCACACGAAGAGTTCTGAAGGGCAATGGTGAAGCATCATTGACTTAACAGTTTTCCTACAAATAATTGAAAGGAGATGTAGTTGAGGCAGCATCTTTCCTGCGCAGGAGGAAATTGTGCATCCTCTGAGCTCAGTGTAGCCCAGCAAGGCTGTTCTTGGATTCTCAGGGTCCCCTCTTCCTGTTCAACATCTCAGCAAAACAATCCCCCCCCCCCAATATTTCCAAAGGCTACACAGTTCATGGCTAAAACAAGTCCTCCTTTTCTTCTGCGTCCACCCCTTTTCTCTTAAAACAAAAAAGGCAATCCGTGGAGGTGCTGGGACATGGTGCAGGGACAGCAGTCCTTGAGTCCTTCACAGCTTCTCACCTTCCATGAAATGATGCAAGCGAAATCTCGTGTAACGTAGATGCAAGTTTAATAGTTATTGCTAACACTTTAGTTCTGTCCAGGGCCAGATATTAGATATTCATTTGGTTAAGATGCTTGTACATCACCTGTTTGTCTACTGACCATTACTCTCTCTCCCCCTTCCCCCCCAAAGGTTGACCCAATGCTAACTCCAGAAGAACGGCATCTGAACAAGATGCAGAACCATGGCTATGAGAACCCAACATACAAATATCTGGAGCAGATGCAGATTTAAGGGATGTTGAAACTCCGGCAGTCCTGCCCGACAAAGGGTTAGGCTAGGGAGGGCCAAAATGGTCCAATATTTTGGATCAACTACTGACCAACTGTTGCTTGAAGAGGACTTCATCGTACATTCAGAACTCCTGGATCATTTAAGACTTAATTACTACTGTAGAGTTACAACTTCCATTCTTTTAAATGGGTGAGGAAATGATAATATAACAATATATGATATATAAACCTTAAGTGGGAAAATGGGTCTATTGCAGATATTTGAGATGTAGTTTTTTTTTCTTTTTTAAGAAACTCAATCTAATGAGGAGAAATCCCAGTGCTGTTGTATTGTCTGATAATAACAAGCTCTCTGTATAAATGAGAAATGTTGTTTTATTTCTGATACACCACTTGTATATTCAAGGTCACTTGTACCAACCACATTGTATAAACGGGACACTCGTGGCTCCTTGGTCTTTCTGGCATTTATATAAAGGCAGTATTCCTTTTTAAAAAGAGAGAAAGGTCAATTTGTTTTCTCCGAAGTCAGAAGCAAGACAGATTGGATTTAATGTCTTTTGGGGGAGGGAAGAGCCCAGAGAAGTAAATTTGAAACAATATTGAAAACCTTATATGAATTTTCAGATGACAGTGTCCTGTGCAATTCTGCTGCTATGTGGCTTGGTTTTCAGAATTCTAGACCCTCTAGAGCTATGGAGGGGAAACGCTTCTGCCATTTTAGGGCCTTCTTAGTGGAATATGAAGGCATGGCTTGTGCGTTTTGGGATTGCACACCTGCCTTGCTTTCTGCACTCAGTCCTGCTATAGAATTGGAAGCCTTTATGTTTGAGTACAGATCCTTTCCTGCCTGTCTGCACCAGCACCTTGCCTAGCGTCAGCAAACCCCTCTTGGTTCATTCAACCCTTCATGTCAGATCACAACCTTTAGAAGTGAGGGAGGCTGATATATCTTCCCATGACACCAGGGCTTGTGCGCATTGCCAGAGCCACTGACATGTGTGGGAATAACTAAGAATTAGGGGAGCCAAAGAATCGTCGCAGCTGTGCCCTCCATTTTGGGATGGGGCTAAGGAGGGGAGAAGACAGAATGCCCAGGTGATGGGAAGGGAGAGAATTGGTGGGCAATGGAGTGTCATGGGAGTTGTTCCATCCACCATCATGTCTTTGTAATGCTTGTATAGTTGGTGTTAATGCTCACGGCTTTTTTAAAAATTCTGGAGGTTCTGGTAACCTGTGGTGTATTTTTTTCTGTTTTCTTTGACTTTTCTTTATCCTCCACTCCTTATCATGTCTCTTCCCACTATGCACAGATTTACTTAACCTGCAAACTTCTTAGTGTGGTCTGTGGGGAATGTACAAAGTTGAAAACACATCAATAAACACTTAAACTTCCAAACCGAGTCCTGTGTTTTATCCACGGGTACCTTGTTAAGTCTATTTTTTTGAGCGAACTGGAGCTTTGAGAAGCTGTGGTGTACATTTCCATAGCTCTAAATCATGCTTGCCACCACCTTCAGAGGCTGTTGGTAGTTTTCTTGGGCAGCTTGCTTGCAGCCTTGTGGGACTCTTTATCTTGAGGACCTCCTGGAACCTTAGGTTAAAGCTTTTCCTACCTGCCAAAGTGACGACAGTTATTCTGTAGCCACCATACCGAATTTTAGATGTTCTGCTTTGAATTGTTCTGTTTGTTTCATGCTAGAACATTTCAAAGGACCAAATTTGGTACTTGATAATTTGCACCATGTGACATGAGCCCCAGAAGACACCGTTGTTGAGCTATCAGTCTAAAAATGTATCTATATGCATCATCCTGGCATCTTTGCTAATTACTCTTACGTCTTAGCAGTAGCATGATGTAAAGCAGCTGCAGTCACACTGATAAACATCTCTAGCCTCCATTCTAGAATAACGTATTTTATTCTATAGATAAACAGTGAGCAAAGTTGAGCTGAATGCCAAACTTCCTTGGGTCGATTGAATGGGGCTCAGATTTGGTGGGATATCTTTAGGGTGGTGAAACAGTGGCACCCTGGCATTGTTAATGGTAGTTTGTGTGTGGATGTGTGTTTTGACATAACCCCAGTTGCTGTAAAGCCCTGTACTGATTTTCCCCAATTTGGTGCCCTCTAGATGCGCTGGACTGCAACTCCCATCATACCCAGCCAACATGACGAGTGGTGGGGTTAGACTGTCGTGAGCCTCTGTTATTATCATGGGCGTTATTGCTGTTTTTACAATTGCAGTGCCACACATCATCCACGTATGTGATGTTTTACGAAGAAAGATGAGGCCTCTGCCCAAAGACTTCATAATCTAGTAACAGAAGAGGAACAAAAGAAGAAGGGCCAAGGACACATCTCTGATGTCAGGCTGAATCAGCAATACCATTTACTTTGGCGTTGTTGTTCTTTGTTTGGTTTTTTCCCAAGGGGGGAAGGTTAATGTTAGGAAAGCAAAACATGAAAGGATCCATGGAACGGAAACCAAGCTCTGGTTCACAGGCTGGCCTGTCTTGAAGGGAGAAAGGCCATGCTGCCTTTGAGTCTCGAGATGGCCAAGAAGCCACTCAAGCCTGCCAAGTGGTTGTTCAAACCATGGTAATCAAGCCAGTGTGAGGAGGTTTGCAAGGTTTGTTATTCCCTGTGGCTAGGGCGAGCCACAGGAGACCTTCCCATGCTTCCGCTTTTTTCCTGAAATAAAACATAAGTTCAAATTCCTTTTATGCCCCTTGCCATGATTGCCAGACCCTCTGCTCCTCCACAATTTAAAACTTAGAAGTATATTTTTGGCTACTAGGAGGCACAAGAGAATTTTTTTAAAAATTAGAAATCCATATTTGTATGTTGTGTGGTTAGTTTTGATTTTCTTTGCCCCCTGAAGGTGGGTGAGTGCAGAGTGGCCCTCTGTTATTTGTGGAAGGCCTGGTGTGATCTAGAACGTTGAAAGATGTGCATACCCAGCCTATGATGCATTCTTCAGTCAACGACATTATTTTTTAAGTTATGACAATGGGAATAGGAAGATAAGATTTGGCAGCATCAGGAAACTTGAAGACGGACTGCATCGTAATACCGAAGATCTTCACTTCTCTCTATTTTAAACTTTCCCCTTCAGTTCTATTTTTTGCAACCGGAACTTTTTTCTTTCTTGGCCTCTCTTGGATCAGAGCTGGCACTTTGACTTCACTTTGAATAAGGTATTCGTTTCGTTTTTGAAGCTTCTCCAAGGATCCCACCTCCCTCCACAATCCAGGACCAAATGTCTGGCTTGTGAATGGCTTTGAACTGATTAAACTTTCAGAGGTCGTTGTCTTAAATAGAAAACTTTATATCTCTCCTGAGGCTCGGATGTCACCATTTTTAAACCTTTTTTCTCCATTTCTGCTTGGGTTAATCTGCTATAAACTGCCCTCTGCACGTTCTAGGCGTACTACTGTCATGACACCAAGACTTCAGTTCTGATTGTTCCTTTATTTACATTTTCCCATTCCTATGCTCATTTCTCATGAGTCCTCATGTCTCCATCATTTTTCTTATCAAGCAAGTCTTTCATATTTTTTGACTCCAGCCTTTTCCACTGCTAGTTCGCTTGAGTAAGCTGAAAAGAATGAAAAAGGAAGCTAAGTCTAATAACCAATGTGGCAAGAGGCTTTCTTAATGCCCGTGTTTCCTTTTAATTAAGACTTTCCCCAATCTCGCACTTGCCTGACCTTTGGCATAGGGCTCTCCTCCTTGGGCTGTGTTGCTAGACTGTGTTATTATCGTGGAGAAGGTTGGACATTCCACCAAGGCAGGCTGAAATCTCCTGTTGTGCGAGTCTTGTCAATCCACTCCTTTCTCTTTGGCAGGTCCTGTTATTTATACTTCTAATGTCTTATTTCCTGTTTCTTTGTGGGGAATTGTGAGTTTTGAATCCTTTCCCCTCGTTCCATTGGAATTATCCATTAAAAAGCTAATAATTTTCCAACCCTGGCGGCTTTAATGACTCTTCACATGGCTTTCCTGGCCATGGGAAGGCTAGATCGGCATCTCTCAGCGGAACATTTCGACTGGAAAAACCTTGAACTATTTTTGCATTGATTTTATCTCTTGCCTGCTTAGGGGGGAAAAGTGGAGTTGCTAGAGTTACCAATGGGAGTGGGGTGGGTGACTCGGTGAATGCCAGGTTGGACTCTCTACAATGGCTTAAAGAAGTACTTTTAGAAACATTTACATGCCTAAGCTGTTGGTGGGTTGCCTTTAAATCGAATTAAAAATGAACCCCTTTAAGTGCTTGTTAAAGGATTGTTCATATGCATATATACTGTCTTTGATGTTCCTCTTTCTGTCTCTGTTTTGTTCTTTGGGTAATTCAAGTTAGTCTGTAAGTAATGTGATAGTTATGGTTTTGGACTGAAACTACCCAGATTTCTTGATTACATCAGCACACAAACTATCCAGTGTTGCAGTAACGCCTATTGTTTTGAAAAGAAATAACCTAAGAACATAGGTAGAGCTGCCTTATACTGTAGTTTGGTTCATCTAACTCAGTCCCGGTGACATGGGCTGGCAGCAGTTCTTTGTGGTGTGGCAGAATTTTCCTGATCTAACCTGGAACCACAGGAGGTTAACTTTGGATCCACCAGACATAAAACAGATGCCCTACCGCTGTTCAGTGGCCCTTCTCACATGCTTACGATTCACAACTAGAAGCCCTAATTTTGTATGACGGAGTTGCCCATCGGATGAGGCAATGGGGGGCCAATTGCACCTGTGCGCTATCACGTTGATTCCAACTTACAGCAACTTTAGTGGAGTTTTCAAGGTAAGGGAGACATTTAAGGAGTGGTTTACCACTGCTATCCCCCAGTGAATTTCTACTTCTATTGAAACTAGAGATCCAACTTCTGCAGGCTTCTTCCTCTGCATATCCTAAAGATGGGCTCCAGAGAGTTGGGAAGCCCTCTGAAACACGTTTTTGCAAAACCCAAGGGCTGGAGGGAGAGAACCCCTGATTCTTCTGCTTGTGGATGTACACCAGTGGAGCTTGACCCACCTTAACAGAAGCATCGTTAGTAGGTGCTTCCAGGAAGGTATCAATTTCAGAAATTACTTTCTTTGGTTTCAACCAATAATCCCTCTTTCACTCAAAACTATAGATGGTGTTTAAAAAGGAATGGTAGTTATTCATTTTAAATAAAACGAGTCTGTCACTTCCTTGAAGGTGGCCAGACAATTATCTGCAGGGATAATTATCTCGTGATCCGCAGCTTGTCGGAGAAGATTTGATAGCAGATATGAAACCAACTGTCTTTGATATTTAGAGCTACAAACTTTTAAGTTCACTTCACCACAAACTCCCAGGTTAAATAAAATAGTTTTAAGTTGCTTCTAAAGGACTTCTTTATTATCTGTTTCTTAGGGTTAGGGTTAGATGATTCCAGCTCCTTCAAGATACTGTATTTCTTCTAATTATATAACTGGGACCAAGCTGTCTTCTCTCATTTTCTGCTTCCGTTCTGGACACATAGATGCTCTACAGTTTGCAGCTATTGAAATGTTTGCAGCCTATCTGAGTAGAGATGTTGTCTATGGTTCTAAAATGACTGGTGGAGGGAAGGTACTTCACAATCCCCTGTGTCTATCCTATTTAGAGATTATGACTTGATATAGACTTATTTTTATTTCTTTGGAGTCTCTTTAAAGGATTGTTTTGGGTAGAACTGGGCCCCCAAAATAACAGTGAGAAAAGAACATTTTCGGGAACTCATTTCTTTAATTCCCTGCATTTATTCAGTTAATTAGCAATCATAATTACATACTGTCAAGACAGTACTGAGATATGGCATTTTGTTTTGTATTTCTTTTTATACTGATAGTTGTGTTGGTTTCTGTATTAAAGAATCTGTGGGCTGGATCTGGACTTACTCATGTTTAGAGGAAGCCTGTTGAAATCGGTGGATGCAGGATGCCTGCTTAGCCCCCTCTCCATGTCGGTGGGCCAAAGGAAATGGTGATGGAGGTGATGGGATGAGCGTTTTCCCAACCCCACATGCCTTCATGGAATACAGGAGAGCCCAATTCAGGCATTACCTACCCAGCAGTTAGCATGCTTAGAAGTGGTTAGTCCATCTCCTCTCTGTGGTTGCTTTCTCCCTGTGGAAAGGGACGAGACTCTGAAGGGGATAAACTCTTGCTTCCATGTAAGTTCTATGCATGATCCAGATTTTTCGTCAGAGCAAGATCCTTCTTTTCAGATGCAACATTCTTCACGTGGAGAAAGCTAAGATGGGGAGGGGAATGATCAGGGATGGCGACTTGAGTTGTGTCACTTGCTGTCAAGTTGGACTTAAGTCGCACTGGTGGTTGGACTCCAACATGACTCAAGTCCCCCTCCCCAGTGTCTGAGACTCAGCTC